AAAAAAGGCAGATGCCCTATTAGTAGGTAAAGCTGGATTGTAAGGATCTGCATTCATTCCTTTTGTGTAGCATTCTATTGCAGCATCATACTTTCCTTGTTTAAAATAAGTATTGCCCTATTAAAACAAATGTGATAAACAGTAAGATGAATATATTATAAACACTTACTCTCTTTTTCTGGTGTCTTTGAAACAATGCTTGCCTATTTTTTTAACCAACAGAATTATTTTCAAGTGCTAGAGCTAGACAAATGAAAGAAAGAATACCACTCACTAAGGATGCTTGGTCTATTACTTTCTCACTGTAACCTAACTCATGAAACTGTTTTAAAGATAAAATAAAGAGGACTAGATACAAAATTGGAAAAAGACAGAAGGCCAATATATTTCACAATCTATCATCTTCCAATTCTTACTTTTTTAAACATTAAGATGCAAAATAATGCATATTAGTTTTCATGCTTTATTCTAGCAGATAGATCAGATGGCAATGAACCATATCAACCAGTTTTGATCATCACTTAGATCCAAGAAGGAATATTTTTTAGAATTTCAAGTGTATAAATTTCAGGATCTACAAAACCCATGGTAGAAGAAAAACAAAAAGAAGACATATATATAGGGATATTAAATCATGGTCACTACTGCATTGTAAAATATTCTATTTTTTTTTTCCAAACAGCTCTTTAATTTGATTTAGAACACTACTTATTATAGACAATTTTGAAATCTTATGAAAAAAAATCATAAGAAGCTTAATGTAACCGTAGACAGAGGCAATCACATTATAATATGAATAAAAAACTTATGAAAAACTAAAGAACAGCAAGACATATTTTTGGTTTTACTAAAATCCAGACTTGGTTTCAAAATTCATATAACTGAACAGTATAAGAACTTGAAACTTGAGAACTAGTTTGGTGTAGTGGTTAAGGCACCAGGCTAGAAAGCGAGAGGTTATGACTTCAAGTCCTAACTTAACCATGAAAGGCAGGAAGGTGATTTTGGGCTAGTCACTCTCTCTCAGCCCAACCCACCTCACAGGGTTGTTGAAAAATAGGAGGAAGAAGGTGTGTTGAATATGCTTGCCACCTTGAGTTATTTGTAAAAATAATAAAGGCATAATATAAAGAAAAAAATCTTCTCAATTAGAGCTTTAGAATACAAATTTTTATATAGGTTAATGTATCCTGTTCCTTAGGGAACATTAGAAGAAAAAATGTGGATCTATTAAAAAATTAAAAATAACCTTTTCTTTCTCAGCAAGAGCTTTTTCTGTATCAATGCAAATTCCATCTTCTTCGGAATCTGACACTGAGTCATGAGTGGTATCTTCCTTATCAAGTTCTTCAAGTATCTTATCCTGAAAAGACAAATTTAAATGTATGCATATATAATGTAAAAAAGGAAGCAACATAAGTAAATATATGATACGTAAGGAGAACTCTGCAGATATATATAGTCTTTATAGTCGCTTGATAGTGAGAAAGGCGGCATATAAATTTAATAAAAATACTATATAGAAATAGTTGTATCAGTGGTAGAAAAATAGCCTTTCAATACTATTTCCAAATATTCCATTAAACTCCCATCTAATGAAGGAAATAAATTTATAATTTTTAGAAAATAAGTATGATCTTCTCCTTTCTGTGTCTGGCATTTTTTACATTAAAAGTGTGTGTGTGTATATATATTATATTTTATTTTATATTACATTACATTACATTATATATTATATTATATTGTAGTATATTGTAGTATATTATATTACATTACAGTACAGTACAGTACAGTATAGTATTACTGTCATATTTATATAGTGTCTTTTCATGAAAGCATCAAGGTAATGTGCAACAGATATAAATAAAACCATCCCCCAAACTTTAAAGTAGTATTTAAACCATTAAAACAAAATCAATGCATGCTATACAATATTGTCAACTATACTTTTTATAAAATAAGCATTTTCTTTTTTGATTTTGGTTACCAGTTTTAGTGAAGCATTACAACACTTAAGACTTGGATCTTTAGTACTGTCACCAACATTATTTACAACATAAAAACTAGTATAGTTGTTTGTATAAATGTCATAAAATCTTGCCTAGCATTTTGATAAACATATTTAATAAAAATGTTCTCCTACCACATCCAGCTTTGCCCAAGCCTCATAATCATAAGATTTTATCTTGTTTTTTTTGTTTTCCTCACTTGTTTGTTTTGAGACTGTTTTAACTTTGCTCTTCTTTTTTTTGTAAGCTTCATTCCGAATAGGGGGTAAATCCTAATAACAGAAAATATAGCAGTATACTTTCAGAAAACTTCTGACAATTAATATATGACCATCCATTTATAAAACAATGTAAAATCAATGCTAGCTTTTTTCTAGAAGACAAGGGTCCAAAACATTAGCCACTGGAAATTGGTTCTCCATGGGGAAAACCATAAAGAATTCCAAACACTTCAACAGAAAATCCCAAACTAATGATTTAATACAAAATGGTAGAACTAAAAGGCAATTCCACTTTCTTAAGTTGAACATTGACAATTTGTCCTAACAGAAGAGGTTTGCTCCTCACATTTTTAACAATGACAGGTAAAAATACTCTAGACTAGCTGGACTCATCTAAGATGTGGAGATAAACTTTTGAATTTAAAATATCCTGTTCCACCCTCCCTAGTATTATTTGATTTTCTTCACTGCAGAGACAGCGAGGAAGAATTGTAGCAATTTCTACAGCATTTTAAAAGGAATATATTTTTTATTTTATTTTATGATATTCTATTTAGATCTATATCAAGAAAGTCCATCTGTCCCTTACCCCTAGTCTCTGGCACACAGGCAATATAACTGAAGCCTAAGTTTAAGTGTTTCCCTGAATGTAAGCCCCCTCCCCGAAAATAAGCCCCAGCTTGATTTTCGGGAGTGGGCCTAATATAACCCCCCCGAAAGCCCTAGTTTGGGGGTGAGGGTGGGGGTAGGGGGGGGTGAAGCTGCCCCACGTGCCCCACACCCACTTACCTTACTGATAGGACCGCCACAGCCAGGCCTCCCATGCCCCAACACTTGTCAAGCGGTGTGGCTTGTCATGCCAGTGCCACTGCTTGCGGCTGGAGGTTGCACAGCGCTTCAGGCTGTTGTTGTTGCTCACGGCAAGAAGCTGAGTGGCTTTTCGGGCCATTGCCATTGCTCACAGCAGGACACCACATCGTGCTTCGGGCCGTTTCCGCCACTCACAGCAAGAAGCCGAGCAGCTCTTCATGCCATTGCCATGCCGCATGGTGCTTCGGGCCATTTCTGCTGCAAGCGATGACAATGGCCCAAAGAACTGCTGGGCTGAGCAGCGGAAACGGCCCAAAGCGCCATGTGGTGTCCTGCTCCGAGCGACGGCAATGGCCCAAAGAGCCGCTCAGCTTCTTGCCATGAGCAGCAGAAATGACCCGAAGCCACCTCCTGCCGCAAGCGGCGGCACTGGCGTGACGAGCCACACAGCTTGATAAGTGTCGGGGCATGGGAGCCCTGGTTGAGGCGGTCCTACGGTAAGGTAAGCAGGTGCAGGGCGCATGGGGCAGCTTCACCCTCCCTACCCATTAGAGTAGCAATGGCGCAATGTGCCACATGGCATCCAGCCATAATTAGTGGCAAACGGCTGCTGAAGAAGTCAAGCAGCGGCGCAACGGGTGTGGGAGGCCTGGCTGTGGTGGTCCTAAGGTAAGATACCCCCCCCAAAGAAGACTCAGTGCCTCTTTTGGAGGCAAAAAAAATATAAGACCGGGTCTTATTTTCGGGGAAACACAATAGGTGATTTATTTGTAATTCTATTTGAAATCAGATGATCTAGTTAACAAACTATATTTCAAGATGTCTTTATTCATTCCATTATCAAATCACCAGTCTTACTTTTTCGGCAGTGTCATTCTGATGCCTTAAATCATGATCTTTTTCTTTAATATCCTTCTCCCATGATTCCAAATCTTTCACAAAATCTTGAAGTTCCTCAGCATTTTGTCGTATTTGCAACTGTAACTCAACTGCTTTATTTGGTGAACTCATCTGATGAAAGAATGCATTGGAAAACAGACATAAGACACATTCTATAAGAATCACAAACAAATTTCAGCTTAAAAAAAGAAAAATAAACATATTTTTTGGCACAGTATTATGCAAATCACATGTTCTTACTATGGAAAAATCAGCCTACCAGTGATTATTACAATAATACTTCAGGTGTAAAAATAACACAAGCAAACTGAAATCATCCAGGTTCAAAGCCTTTTTCAAGAATAGGTGCCCTATTGTATTTTCCCTTTGGATGAATTAAATCTGCTGTAAGAGAATATCTTAGCATCTTATAAAGAACCCTGGTACAGAAACTCACGTCCTGCCAAACTAACTTGGCCTTGTCAAAGTTCTGCAAAGTTTCTCTGACAACTGTCCTATCACAGCTAATCAGGTTTCTAGTTCACCTAAAAATAAATCAGCCCCCTTTTTAAAGGATAGGTAAAAAAAGAGATGTGTATGGTGGGCATAAAGGAGGGGAGGGCGAAGCGGGGAAGCAACCCAGATACATTACAGTATTCCCACAATGCAAAAGAATCCTCCTTGGTGCGTCCTGTGAATGCTGAACATCACCTTCCAAAAAGAACTTTTCCGACTGCGTCGGAAAGGCAAACAAGCCTCGCAGTTCCCGGTTTTTCATAAACACCCAGGAAAGACGCCATTAGCCCAACCTCAATGCGCTTTGCTTCCCCATCCCCCCCCCCAGCCCTGCACGGCAACAGTAGCGGAACGGCCCCAATCTCTGCGAGTGCAAATACCTCTCATTCTTTTGCTGTTCCGAAGCCCGTCTCGCTTTCCTTTTCCAAAACACCCAGAGCGCCAAACGAAGGGAGATGCGTCGCCGAGGTAGCCTTTCTAGAAGAAAAGACTTCCAACTTCTATGGTCTAAGTTAGGTAGAAAGAGAGAGTGAGAAAGAGCGTCCACAGCTCCTCCCCCCCATCTCTCCGCATGCGCGTTCTGGTGCATGGCTATTGTGTGGTTTACTTCTCTCTACATAGAAGGCGCATGAGTGTCGCACTTCTATTACCCGGCTTCATATATACAAAAGCTGGAAAGTTGCCGAGGCAAGAGAATTATAATTTATTTGTCTATATACGATTTGGAAAAGAGGCATAAAGGAACAGCTCTATGGACCCCATTTCACTTTAGCTTACTTCCGATGAATCACCCCAAACAGGCAGCAGGAAACACGCGTGGCGTATCTCTATGATTTCAGCGGAAGATGTTCTTTGCCTGGGTTCGATGCAGTGGCCGATGAGGCCATGTGAACAGAGATATCCGTTTGCTCCGTCGCCTGAGCTCGTATGAACTATGACATCTGAGCAGACTTCGCACCCGAAGACTCGCGGCTCTGGCGAGGAACAGGAGGAGGACTTTGGCTACAGTCGGTTTCCCGATCGAACTCTTGGCCAGGGGAAGAAGCCCGCGTTGAAGGGAAAAATAATCTCCAGCTTGTTTGGTTCCCAGTATAGGTGCCAGTCGATGCTGAAGGTTGCTCTAGACAGTAAGTCCTCCCCCCCCCTCGGCTCTCTGGTCGTGAGAATGTATTTTTCTAGTGAGGAAGGATGATGTATCGCCTTCTTCAGAGAAATAACTCTAGGTGTTAATACGCACCCCGTCAAACACATGATCCTTAACATCTTTCCTTAAAGTTTACTGCGTGGTAAGTTGTAATTCTAACCTTGAAAATATATTGCCCCATCTTAAGTAACTCCAGTATAGTGACCAAATAAAATGCCATGAATAGTTATAGAAATATGTATACATTTACACACACTTTCCCATTTGACAGAATTCTTCAAAAGGCAAAACGGGGAAGAAAAAAATGAGAAAAGATGAAAAGATCCATAATTTTACAGCATGTATTTCAATCATGATGTGGGAAGTCAGCTCCCCAGAGAATGAAATATTAAAAGGGCAGAAAAATATATTTCCTCAAAAGGATTTTAAAAGCAGAAACCAACCCTGCCCCCAAGTCTCTCTGTCCCAAGCAGAAGCCAACTCTGTACAAATGCAGATGTAAACCATCAGGAAAGTTGGAGCTAGAAGCTTAGGAAGACAAAGACACTTAAAATCTGCATATCCCACCCAAACTCTAAGAGTCATTAGCCCTAGCACCAGGGAAGCAGGATATAACCCTTGAGACATAATAGGATTAACCCACCACCATTAAGAATACCAGAAAGGCACATCCAGACTCAGGTCAGAATACGTGACACAGGAAATACAAAGCCTGAAACAGTAACAGGAAATTATTTCAAACAGAAGGCTTGAGAGGGTATAAAAAACCACTATCAACATGTGCTCAGCCCTCTTTTCTCTCCTCTTTCCTGCCAGAACCATCTTTCCGTCTGGCTCTTCAATAAACTGCAACCTTCTTTCTAAAGCAGTCGCCATGTTGTTTATCCCCGGCTTGGACTGGAACATGATGAAGACTTTTCCTTCAACAATGAGATCTGCAGAGTTCCAAAATGGAAGCTGAGAACTTAATGCAGAATTAGAATAGAATAGAATAACAGAGTTGGAAGGGACTTGGAGGTCTTCTAGTCCAACCCCCTGCTCAGGCAGGAAACCCTAAACCATTTCAGACAAATGGTTGTCCAAGCTCTTCTTAAAAACTTCCAGTGTTGGAGCATTCACAACTTCTCCTTAATTCTAGGTTGCGTCTCTCCTTGATTAGTTTCCATTCATTGTTTCTTGTCCTGCCTTCAGGTGCTTTGGAGCAGGGGTCTCCTCGGTCCGTGGACCGGTACCAGGCCGCGGCATGTCAGCAAGTGGTCCGGACAAACAAGCAAACCCCCATCCGTGGGATGCAGACAGCACACAACCCCCCCCCTCTGGTCCGTGGAAAAACCTCCAGTCCCTGGTGCTTAAAAGGTTGGGGGCCTCTGCTTTGGAGAATAGCTTGACTCCCTCTTCTTTGTGGCAACCCTTGAGATATTGAAACACTGCTATCATGTCACCCCTTGTCCTTCTCTTCAGTTCCAGCAGCCATTCTTTATGCTTTAGCCTCCAGTCCCCTGATCATCTTTGTTGTTCTTCTCTGCACTCTTTCTAGAGTCTCAACATCTTTTTTACATTGTGATGACCAAAACTGGATGCAGTATTCCAAGTGTGACCAAGGCATTATAAAGTGGTATTAATACTTCACGTGATGTTGATTCTATCCCTTTGTTAATGCAGCCCAGCATACTGCTGGCTCATGTTTAAGTGATTGTTCACTAGGACTCCAAGATCCCTCTCAACAGTTGCTACTATTGAGTGAGATGCCACCTACACTGTACCTGTGCATTTGGTTTTTCTTGCCTATATATAGAACTTTATTTTTTTCAACATTGAATTTCATTTTTTTAGATAGCGCCCAATGTTCAAGTCTGCCAAGATTGTTCTGTATCTTAAGCCTATTTTCTGGAGTGTTGGGTATTCCTGCCAGCTTGGTGTCATCTGCAAATTAAATGAGTTCCCCATCTATCACCTTATCCAAATCATTGATAAAAATATTGAAGAGTACTAGGTCTAAAACAGAGCCTTGGGCTACCCCACTGCATATTTCCCTCCATGTAGATGCAGTTTCATTGAGGACTATATGTTGAGTGTGGTTATGAATTCATCTGGTGGTGATGCTTCTAACCCACATCTTTCTATCTTATCAAGTAGTAGGCTGTGGTCTACATTATCAACTGCCTTGCTGAAGTCCAAGTAAGTTATATCCACAGCATTCCTTTGGCCCACAAATTTTGTCACCTTGTCAAAGAATGCAATAAGATTTGACTTGCATGATCTGTTTTTGACAAACCCATGTTGTCTTTTGGCTATGATTTGTTTGCCTCTAGGTGTTCACTGATTTGTTGCTTGATTATCTTTTCCAGAATCTTCCCAGGTATTGAGGTCAGGCTGATAGGTCTGTAGTTTTCTGGATCTATTTTTTTTTCCTTTTTTGAAGATGGGAGCTACATTAGTAATGGAGATAACAGTCACCTTTGTCTTGTATATTTTTTTTATAGTAACATTCTCTGTAAAATCCCCATTTACAATTACTTTGGCTGTTTATCTAAAATATATTTTTTATTATATTTATATTTTTTCTCCAAAGTCCATCCAGTTTAATTGTTGTAACATAAATAGCCAATTTATGTTATCAAAGGCTTTCTGTGCATCTAGTAAAATTAGTGCCATTTGTTTCCCTGGATGCATTTCATAATATTCCAATGTATCCAAAATAATTCTTAAAGTATTTTTTATTTGTGTCTTTGGTAAAAATCCATTTTGATCTGGATGGATAAATTCAATCAAAAATCTCTGTTATTGAAGGACATTTTTTATAATCCACGTTTAGTAGTGATATTGGTCTGTAGTTCTTTATCTCAGTCAGATCTGAGTCTTCTTTTGGAATTAAGGTAATATTAGCTTCTGTCCAGGTATTTGGTAGTTTGGCCTCTGATAGTACCTCATTACAGACTTCTTTTATTGGTAGGCTTAATATGTCTTGTAGACATTTATAAACTACCGGTAGCCCATCTGCTCCTGGAGTCTTCTCATTTTTTTGTCTTTTTATAGTCTCCATCAATTCCATCACTGTTATTTTTTCATTTAACATATTTTTAAAATCTTCAGGTATTTTTGGTAATTTGGCTTTTTCATATATTGAATTTGTTAGATAATTTTAATTTCTCTGTTGGTGAAAAATAAATCAGAAGCTCTCACAGTTGACTGCATTTAGCTGATTCAAATAAACTCTTTATATTCATATAAAATTATTTACAATACCATACATTCTTCTTTACAGCAACATAGCATAAATGAAGACTTCTTACAGCAGAGACAGACCTGAGACTGAAACTGAAACAAACAAAATCCAGCTCCTAACTCAATACCTTTTGCACAGACTCAGTAGCACTTTCTTCACATTGGCTGACTGAGTTACCACATGACTCTTCCTGCTCATGAATATTCCAACACTCCTCCCTTCATGACAGGAAGAGACATCAGACCTATTGACTTAATACATTTTCCATAGAGAACACCACCCAATGGTTTAGTTATGTCTGCCAAATTATCCTCAGAAGAACAATGATGTAAACTAATCAATTTTCCTTTTACAGCTTCCCTGACATTACAATACTTAATGTCTACATGTTTACTTCTGTTCTTCACCCTGTCACCAGTTGCCATTTTTATACAGGCAGCATTGTCTTCAAATACCTTTACAGATTCTTTTACATTAATATTTAAATCTTG